GTTTCTGGCTCTGGCGATGTCCATCACATGACGGACAACGGCTCAACACGGAATGATCGGGATCGTAGGACGCTGAGCCAAAGATTTCTTCGCACAGTTCAACAGATAAAAGTTCAAGACAATTCTCCTGTCTTCTCAAATGGAGTGTAAGGTACGCCAGTTACCGAGACAAGTTGCTTGATGTGGATATGAATATGTTGTGTAATGATTAGTAAGTAATTGTGGCTTAAGTAGTTTTAAGGACTTTTGGTTGAGTTTTGCCCATAAGGAAATGAGTAGACCTTATGATGTTACTAATTTTCCCAAAAGGTTTTCGCAACCGTTATCAGTCTTTAGATAATCGTAAACGGCCTAGGCTGACTAGGCTGAGGTTGGCATTACAGAATTACTAATAGAGTTTTAATATATTACCAATTAATATAAGCAATGTAGTCAAGTGTAATGACTAATGCACGTTTACCTCAGCAATAATTCCACCATAGAATGGGATTTGGGAGAAGTGTGGCCTACTTTAAATGGGCATATCTTTCAGGTGACCTACTGACATGTGTGGCTGTGATGCTGGCAAGTGGTTTCCGCGACGCGAACAATCGGGTTCGAGAATAGAGCTCGAAACTGAAGTCCTGTCAAGCCGAAATATGGAAATCTTTCAGAGGCAAGATCAGGATAAATGCAATGGCGCTGTGGTAAAATTTCCACTATCAATCCTTAAATCGCCAAAAGCGACCTAATCGCTTGGCCTAATACTTGGTTCCTGTCGAAAATTCCCGTCCCTCGGCCATCTTGAAGAGAAGCTAACTGGATCATGATCGGAACTCAGGCTCCAACATTGATGGAGTGTTGACTCAACTGGGTTTTATACGGCAGGTCGAGGTACGTCGAGCGACCAAAGGTTGATGTTCTGCTCAGAAATAGATATTCATGTTCACTATTCCGAGGGGTTGAAGTCAGTCATCCATTGATGAGACTAGTTGTCATAGCAACATGTTTTCATCGGCCAGAGCTGAGGAGAACTTGGCGGTAGTTCGCTTACATTTGGTATTCCTCCACAAACATAGCCACTTGCATCTTCACTTGTTGGCTTTGTTAGACGATTTTTTTAATTCCAGTCTTTCAAACAGCTCGAAATGATAGTTTTAACGGAGATTATAAGTTTGCTGTAAGCTCTACCCACCTTTCCAAACCTCTATTGGATTAAACAATATTGCAATAGTAAAACCTACAGAATGTGAGGTTTCATTAGTATCCTGCAAAAAGCTTGATTCATTTATCATTAACCGAGCCTTTGGATCTATTTTGGCCTACCATTTCTGTGCTATTTTTGTATTTATTCGCAACGGCTTGTAAGGGATTTCTTATTCAATGTGAGTTTATATGGACAACAGACCAATCGTATCATCTCTCCCACAAAGGGATGCTTTGCCCTTATCACTTGCACGCAATATAGCTACACATCTTCACTAATCTATGAGTTTAATTAAGTTTATTTTTATATTCTGCTAAAGTACACAATATAGCGTCAGGGGCAATATTGATATCCCCAATTCAGCAATATTTTATGGAAACCTTAAACTGTTGCCCATACAAGGCCTGGCCTTACTTGAAATTCACATCTGCCCCGTGACCAAAATTCATTTTTGTCTGTCTAACGTGTCAAGCTCATATACTGCACTGTCACGATTCTATTCCCGCTGGGGCTGTGGATAAGACCAATGCGAGGTCGAAACTGCGGTCCACTGGGGCTTGGATGAGAACAACTTTTGGGAAAGCAAGTCTCTGCGAAACGTCAGTTCTACTCATAACATTGTGGGCAAATTGTACTACCAGTCCTTCATCACCTTAAACAAAATAGGGCAAATACATCAAATATATATGAAGAAAATTTGGGTTTCGAGGAATGTCTTGTTTCATAATTGTTGAGCCTACTTCCATTTCGAGTGAAAGTGCTGGGTGAAGAGATTCGATGGTCCGTTCCACCAGAAGACGACGACGAATTCCTCTTGACCAGCTGTCGATTGGCTTTAGTGGAACATTTATTCTGACGCTGTTTCCGAGGCAATCTCCTTCGATTCCGGCGAAAAGGTGCTAAGCTTTCGTGCGTCATATGACGGACATCATCAGAACGAGGTAACCACGTCACAACAAAATTCAAGCTAACGAGTCAAGAAAACTGACCGGCAAATTCCTAAAAAGTGGTATATATACTCTATATGACGGAATCGAAGGAGATTGCCTCGAAAACAACGTCAGCATTAATGTTCAAGTAAAGCCAATCGACAGCTGGTCAAGAGGAATCGGCCGTCGTCTTCTGGTGGAACGAACCATCGAATCTCTTCACCCAACACTTCCACTCGAAATGGAAGTAAGCTCAACAAATACATCAAATGTTTCCAATATTGTTTATCTTACTAATTGTAGAATATAGGCCTGGGGATAAAATTAAGTACTCTTGAGGAAGGCTTGGATTCCGAGACGCACTGGAAATGTGAATAAAACAAAGACCAGATTGGATCCAAAGTCGGTTTTGTGCGGCGAAGAGCTGTTACACTCTGGCCTGACAGGATGGCATTGGCATAAATGAATCTATTCTTGGGATTTCAGTGATCAGATCAACATTAAGTCACCGAACTTCCGAGTCACCAGACTCATTGAGAAGGTTATCTTTCCATAGTCGCTATATTATAGGCCTGAGTCACATAAATTTTTCATACAACATTTTATATTATATTTTAACAGAAAAGTGACAGAGTCTACTTGAAATCAGGCATATTCACTTCAAGTGAAATTCATTACAATAATGTTCTGCTACAAACATAGCACCATAGCAGGGCTTTGACAACTTTATAAAAGTTACGTGGCGATTACAAAGTATTTAATAATAATTTACACTTTGTAACAGTAGATTAAATTGGCCCATACAGAAGTAATCAAAAGTGAGCAATGGAGTTTTTCCATTTACTTCACTCGGTATGCTTTTTTTGAGTGAACTGTCTATTTTTGCTGTGCAAGTAATTTTGGTCGCCAGTCAAATTGTATTAATCGTAGCTTGCTCATTTTTCTCAACTATTTGATTTATTTCAGATATAACACAGGAAGACATCGACGAACAGCGCCGAGTACCCGAGCGCAATATGCTCTTGGAGATGGAAGGACTTGTAAAGTCTGGTGGGAATGTTAATCAACTCGACAATCAGGGCGCCACGATGGTGAGAGCATGGGACACTTTTTAAAAATTCAGAGACAACAATCTTTTTTCTTCTTAAAAAGTCACTTTCACTTATTCAAGAGAAACCTTGATTGCTTGTGTCAATTTTATCAGTTAATCTTATCTAGTTTATCACGGAGCAAAATAGCAAGATCTATATTTTATACGAAGCTTTCTATCGTGAAAAAGAATATCTTTGATTACAAAGTATTTAATAATAATTTAACTTTGTGACAGTAGATTAAATTGGCCCATACAGAAGTAATCAAAAGCGTAGAATTTATAAATTCACTACTTTTTCAGTATTCTTAAGCTCAAGATAGAACATCGGCAATGCAAACCCAGCGCAGTTCTGGAGCAGTTTAGATTAACTTTCACTTTCATGAGAGCTATATTTGTCCTGTTTTGTTTAATCTTCTTCATCACCTCAAATTAAATAGGATGAATACTTATGATCTATCGGTAGTCTCGAAAGTCTACTTATCAAATAGAAAGCTCAATAAATATTGTTTATGCCAATTTATTGTCTTTAACCTCTGTCTTCCTTTATGTGCACATTTTAAGTCGATTTGCCTTCATCTCCTATTTTACTATTAAAATAGTTTAGTCTGCTAAATTATTAACTAAAAGCTTTTTTGTTACAAAGTATTGAGAGGGCAGTTTGCTGTTGAGGTGTACCAGTTTAGAATAGCTTTTTATTGGAATGATAGCGAGTCTGGCTTGGATAAATTCAAGAGAAAGCATGTTTTCCGAACTGAATTCCATCTGCCCATTTTGCCTAACAGGGCGCACTTATCTTTAGCATGGACTGCAGTCGCAACCTCGCCTCATTAAATGGTCAGCATTCCCGGTCATATACAACCCGATGAAGCAGGTTGCCCCCCAAATTATGTGGCAAAGGCTTCAGTACGTTAAGGGAATTTTGAAGCTGAACCTAGTCGCAAGCACACGGTTGTCGCTTGATACACAGTTGCCACAAAGTGATGTGAATAGGGAGCTGCTTGCTTTGCTTGGAAGGACATGTTTTTCAGGTAGCCCATTTGTGGGCGTATCGCCTGTGCAGTGACGTGTTTGCCCATTGGCCCACACTCGCACGGTTCGAGTCCCGCCAGGATTACTGGCGAAACGATAAGTTGTCGTCGCGATTGCGGTCCAAGCTAAGAGATGAGAACGGTCATTTGGAATGCATTGCAAATTGAGAGTCACTTCATATAATCAAGCGTTATCCGACATTCATCATGACTCGCTATCACTTCACTGTGAAGCCAATAGCGACCAGTAGGACTTTTGAACTTTAGTATGGCCATTCAAAGTCGGAAGGATTATTATTTGTTGAGCTTA